GCTTTATATAAGTATCAAAGATTACATGACGATAATCGAACCAAATCGTGGTCGTATATTGTCTTGGCGATTATAATGGCCAGTAGAGTCAATTAATATTTCCATTGTTGTAAATTAAGTAAATTAGAATTTCAAGATGCGGTGTGCTCAAAAGATTTCTTTATTTCGGCAAATGGAAGAAGAAAACATCTAAAGGATAATGAAATATTTTTAAAAGTTTAAGCTAAGAGATCAATTTTTCAATTTTCGGGTAGTAGTTTTTAATTGCAAAAATTTGATCCGTCGCAAGCTATTTAAGCATACAAGTTGTTTGCGCGTACGGTTCCGTTAATGATCACGAACTTTGTGTTATCACTGACATTGAAAGATATCGTCTAGCTCTTTCTCGTTGGATACCCAGATTTCGGTAAACAAATCTGAACGAAAAAGTTAAGTTTCTTCGAGAGAGAAACAATCATGAGATTTTACTTACGCCTGCCTGCCAGGTGCCGAGACCGAGTACGGGAATCTTTATACCGTTGTTCAAAACCGTAATCGGCGCTGCTATTATAGTTCATCAAATGTTAAACATTTATCTCGAAGTGATACGTACTATACTAAAAGTAGACCGTTATAGCCGACACTATATATATAGATAAATAGAAGTGTCCCAAGATTTGTTTCCTCCCTTTTTTTTATCCACACAGTTTGCATATTTCATGAAACAAATTGTCATTTTTTTTAATTCGTAATTACCGGCTCATTTGCAATTGAAATTTTGCAAGTATATATACATAAATTTCGCTCTTGAAAAGTAAGGCATACTAGTTTGTTAAAAGCTGTCAATTACATAATTTGAACGATAACGATAACGTGATTTCAACGTTTCTTTGCGTGTTATGTTGGTGTGTGTGTGTGTGTGTGTGTGTGTGTGTGTGTATATATATATTGGAAACTAATTGTAACTATAATTACATTAATTATAAATTCACAAAATTAATATACAGAAATGCAGTTACATATACTTCTTCATCAAGTTTCAAAAAAAAATATTTCAAATATAATTCTCGTGTTTACAACTGTGTAATTTTAGAGAGTAATAATTTTTTACAATTTTTCTCTTTTTCTAAACCATTCATCTTCCGTTTAGTAGAGGCTCTAAACAATTTTGAATTCTGATGACTCACCCTTCCGAGATCGTTCAAAGTCTTTCGCAAAATCACGTTCTTTGTGCTATTTGGCGTGGCCTAATTGATCAAGTTATTTACCATGCTCAGATATATTGTATCCTCACGTAGAAAACGGTCAAAATTTATTTTGTCTGGCAACTAACGCAAAATGCGCACTGTTAAACGTATAATTGAATATACCACAGACTACTATTTGTTATATTGCTATTTGCAATGATACTCACATAAAGATTTTTATTTTTCTCAGTTTTGTAATCCTGAGATTGTTCTACCTCTAGGATTATCAATATGCTTGAATAAAACAAACAACCGATATTTTCATTAATTACATATAAAATATTGTTGCGAATTATATTGAGACCTAACCCAAATAAATTCACGCGATTTATTTACTACAGCGACAAGCAAGTTTCAATATTGAATAGTAATAACAAATTAATATTGAACCGTTTTGGTGTAAAAAATAAAAATAAAAGTTTCGAAAATAATTCATATCCTTTGATTGGCTTAACCGATTTTGATAAAATTTTAATATGTAGTAGATATCATTGAAATACATTTGTGGAAAATTCGAAAAAGGTATCTGATGACAGAAACATTGATAAAAAAAATAAATAAATGTTCTTGCTTTTTTTTAGTCCCGATAGGCGGTACTTTTAAAAAATAAAATATTTTTTTTATTTTTTTTTAATATGATATGCTTTTGGTACAATCGCCATATATTTTATGTAGAATTTGAGATGGTATTCTACAAGTAATTTTTTCGAACCAATAAAATTTTCAAAAGTATATTTTAATACAAGAAGTTTAATAAAAGAAACACGCAGATATATTATAGTCTCACTTGTTCATTTTGATTACTTAGAATGGAATATAGAACGGATAATAGGGGCTGGCAAATGCACTGAAAAAGAATAAGAAAACATTAATATATCGCCTAATACAATTATTATATGCTATATATATATCTCATAATTGGTATAAAATATTGTTTGTATAAATGACAATTGTAAACTACTAACTCCATTGGACAAATTCTTCCGTTGCAATCAAAAGTATCAATATAAGCAATATCTTCAGGTGAAAGTTTAAAGTCAAATATATCCATGTTTTGAGCAATTCGTGACTTGGTGACTGATTTGGGAATGACTATATGGCCACGATCCACCTGCAAATAGTTATATAATATTAATATTTTACTTATATTCAATACATCTAATTTATTGAAAAATATACTTAGAGACATTAATATCTTAATAACATACTTGATAACGAATAACTATTTG